AGCAACACCTGGTTGTTCTCCCCTCTTTGAGAACCTCGTTTTCTCTGAGTATTTGGCTTCTCTCAGTTTTCTGTTGTTTGTCAGGATTTCCCCCTACCTTCTTAATCAGGGAATCATTATGTGAAAATATCCAACATTGCACCAATGTTTAACACTCCGAAGAGGGATAAGACAGACATACAATCAGATTGTTACTGCAGAAGATGGGACAGGAGCCGTTATTTGACTGTCCCAGCTTCCGTGATGTTTGTTCTTTGCTAATAACTGTGAAATTAGAGCAGAGGCTACATAAGGAGAAGATGGATTATTGATATATAAAACAGGGATGCTTCTTGCAGAGTGGCAAGCTTCACTGGAAAGGTCACAGGTGGTGAGGATACTTTGGATCTTTTCTCCAGGCTATGCTGGTATGGTGGGTAATGAACAGGCAGACAGATTGGCTGGATCCACACCACTGGGTGTTGAATTGATACATGACAAGGCAAATGTTGTCAAGGCCCTGTGGGAACAAGTAACGAAATCAGTAGAAGAAGAAGATTATTATCGCCTGGAGAGAATGAGGCACCTGGGTGTAACCAGAGGGTCTGGCTGGCTCACTACACTCAGAGGAAAGGCAAGACAGACTTTTAACCAGATTGTGATTGGTACCATCAGTATTGGAACTCTGCGCTGGCTGCTCAAGATGAGGACGGAGCGTGCGTGGGCGTGCCCAGAATGCTGTGATGTGAATTCTTGACTAAACTCAAAACAGTATGCATCCATGCAAATTGACAATGGCCTGTACTACCTATCAAGCACATGACCATAAACTGTTACTCCCCTTGAGGCTTAATGTCAAAACTGGAAGTTGAGGATGAAGACTTTTATCTTTTCAATGTTGAAGTGATATTCACTGTTCTTACTTTACTCAGACATCTCACAGTGTTTGTTGCTTATTTCTTTAGGATGCAATTGGAATTCTTAGTCGAATTCCCCAGCGCTCACATTCAGGTGAACTCCTTCTTGCAACTTGCATAGTCCAAAGGACTGACCTGGAAGCGGTCATCACATCGGGCAAGTGCTCAGAAACACTGGCTAAAGACACACTGAGGGCATACTTGGATGCACAGAAGATTGTTCTAAAACAGGTTAGTGTTCTAAAAGAGATTAGTGTTTTAAAACAGGTTAGTGTTCTAAAAGAGATTAGTGTTTTAAAACAGGTTAGTGTTCTAAAAGAGATTAGTGTTTTAAAACAGGTTAGTGTTCTAAAAGAGATTAGTGTTTTAAAACAGGTTAGTGTTCTAAAAGAGATTAGTGTTTTAAAACAGGTTAGTGTTCTAAAAGAGATTAGTGTTTTAAAACAGGTTAGTGTTCTAAAAGAGATTAGTGTTTTAAAACAGGTTAGTGTTCTAAAAGAGATTAGTGTTTTAAAACAGGTTAGTGTTCTAAAAGAGATTAGTGTTTTAAAACAGGTTAGTGTTCTAAAAGAGATTAGTGTTTTAAAACAGGTTAGTGTTCTAAAAGAGATTAGTGTTTTAAAAACAGGTTAGTGTTCTAAAAGAGATTAGTGTTTTAAAACAGGTTAGTGTTCTAAAAGAGATTAGTGTTTTAAAACAGGTTAGTGTTCTAAAAGAGATTAGTGTTTTAAAACAGGTTAGTGTTCCAACACAGGTCAGTGTTCTTATAAGAAAAGAAAGAAAAAAAAGTTTCCATGTGGGTGCCATTCTCCCATTTTGATGAATAGTAGGTATAGATCTAGTGGCGCCCCCCTTTTTCCCCAAACAAGTATGTTGTAGAAGACGACTAATTAGGGGTGTTTGCTTCCAAGTGAGGCCGATAATCGACGCCCAGAGGAAAGGCAAGATGGAAATTTACAAGACGGACATATAATCAGACTACCACTGGAACCCTGGGCTGGCTGCTGAAGATGGGTCAGAGTGTTTATCAGAATGCCCTGAGCCAGTGAATGCCAAGAAGAAAAAAAGTTTAGGGTTGCAATGTGGCTAACTGGTTCCCTAGAGCCTTACTGTTTTGTCTTTTGAAACAGATCGGAGTCGTAATATTTATACACTTTGTCCGCAAAACCAGGAATTTTATTTCCTTTCCTAACATATCAGTTTTGTAATATTTCCCAGTGCTGTAATAATTCTCCTCCTAGTTTCCTAATGCAGGACATTTTCATGTCCTGAAATAAATCAGAGTTGCAGTGTTTCTTTTTTGCATTTTCTAAAGCATGACACTTCATCAAGTGAATTCTTAAAATAAAGTCCTAATGTCATCACTTGTTTTTTTTTCTGAGCAGACACTTTTATGTCCTGAAATATGTTTGGGTGGTAATGTAATGTTTCTTTACTTAGTTTTATTTATATATATATATATTTTTTAAATATCAAGACCCTTTCTTGTCCTGAAATAAGTGAGAATGGTCATGTTTTGTCATATCATTGACTCAAGCATGACACTTTTATTACCCTGAAATAAGTGAGAATGGTCATGTTTTGTCATATCATTGACTCAAGCATGACACTTTTATTACCCTGAAATAAGTGAGAATGGTCATGTTTTGTCATATCATTGACTCAAGCATGACACTTTTATTACCCTGAAATAAGTGAGAATGGTCATGTTTTGTCATATCATTGACTCAAGCATGACACTTTTATTACCCTGAAATAAGTGAGAATGGTCATGTTTTGTCATATCATTGACTCAAGCATGACACTTTTATTACCCTGAAATAAGTGAGAATTGTCATGTTTTGTCATATCATTGACTCAAGCATGACACTTTTATTACCCTGAAATAAGTGAGAATGGTCATGTTTTGTCATATCATTGACTCAAGCATGACACTTTTATTACCCTGAAATAAGTGAGAATGGTCATGTTTTGTCATATCATTGACTCAAGCATGACACTTTTATTACCCTGAAATAAGTGAGAATTGTCATGTTTTGTCATATCATTGACTCAAGCATGACACTTTTATTACCCTGAAATAAGTGAGAATTGTCATGTTTTGTCATATCATTGACTCAAGCATGACACTTTTATTACCCTGAAATAAGTGAGAATTGTCATGTTTTGTCATATCATTGACTCAAGCATGACACTTTTATTACCCTGAAATAAGTGAGAATTGTCATGTTTTGTCATATCATTGACTCAAGCATGACACTTTTATTACCCTGAAATAAGTGAGAATTGTCATGTTTTGTCATATCATTGACTCAAGCATGACACTTTTATTACCCTGAAATAAGTGAGAATGGTCATGTTTTGTCATATCATTGACTCAAGCATGACACTTTTATTACCCTGAAATAAGTGAGAATGGTCATGTTTTGTCATATCATTGACTCAAGCATGACACTTTTATTACCCTGAAATAAGTGAGAATGGTCATGTTTTGTCATATCATTGACTCAAGCATGACACTTTTATTACCCTGAAATAAGTGAGAATGGTCATGTTTTGTCATATCATTGACTCAAGCATGACACTTTTATTACCCTGAAATAAGTGAGAATGGTCATGTTTTGTCATATCATTGACTCAAGCATGACACTTTTATTACCCTGAAATAAGTGAGAATTGTCATGTTTTGTCATATCATTGACTCAAGCATGACACTTTTATTACCCTGAAATAAGTGAGAATGGTCATGTTTTGTCATATCATTGACTCAAGCATGACACTTTTATTACCCTGAAATAAGTGAGAATTGTCATGTTTTGTCATATCATTGACTCAAGCATGACACTTTTATTACCCTGAAATAAGTGAGAATTGTCATGTTTTGTCATATCATTGACTCAAGCATGACACTTTTATTACCCTGAAATAAGTGAGAATTGTCATGTTTTGTCATATCATTGACTCAAGCATGACACTTTTATTACCCTGAAATAAGTGAGAATGGTCATGTTTTGTCATATCATTGACTCAAGCATGACACTTTTATTACCCTGAAATAAGTGAGAATGGTCATGTTTTGTCATATCATTGACTCAAGCATGACACTTTTATTACCCTGAAATAAGTGAGAATGGTCATGTTTTGTCATATCATTGACTCAAGCATGACACTTTTATTACCCTGAAATAAGTTACGGGTGTAATTGTTTTTCATTTAGTTTTTTAGTTTTTTTAATGAGCAGAAACTTTCATCTTGTGAAATAAGCATTACCTTTAGTGTTTATTGACTTGGTTTCTTAGAGCGTGACAGATGTATGACTTGAAATAAGTTAGGACTCAGACGTCTCTTCACTTTGATTTTTGTTTTGTTTTAATGAGCACAAACTTTCAAAGCCCTGAAAACAGAATTACCTTTAGTGTTTGTTGACCTGGTTTCTTAAAGCATGTCAGACATATATCTTGAAATAAGTCAGGACTTGAATGTTTCTTCGCTTGATTCTCTAGCATGTGACACTTCCAGGCTATGTTCCTAAATAATAAGGGGAATAGCACTAGAACTAACTGACACAGAAGACAATTGTCTTTTTACTAATGTTTATTCTATTTGTGCCAGCTGACTTTGCTTTCGTTGTACAGTTCACGTGAGGTACACATTAGACATATCACTTATCAAAGTTTGGCTCTATGGATGACTAAAACATGTGTAATTCACAATTTTATCTAACTCTGGATAAATCTTTAAAAAACGTACTTTATTGAAGTTTGAGACTTCTAAGGCCGTAAATGATGTTGGTTTCCCAGTAGAATACTGCTTGGCGGCCATATTCTTTTCAAACAAACACTTAGTAACTCAGCGAATCTCGCAAATATACTATGTTTTCAGCTTTCAACCCATGTTTCTAAATGAGCACGCCTGATATCAGACACAGAGAACTATAAAGGAAGTTGAAATTGAGCGGTTCCACATTTTGTAACCGGTCAGTGGTAGATTAAAAACCTTAACTTGTCACACATTGATTGCGCTGTAGGGTTGTAACAAATTATCGCGTGATGCATTCCCTGGGACTCAAAGAGTTAAAATAGATCTTGGTTTCTAATTCTTTAGATGGAACTGTTAGGAGAAAAGATTGAACATAGCTGTACAAATGTGGAACATCTGTCCTGTCCTGTGAGCCCACTGGCTAATCTTTACTTGTCCCAGAACCAAAGATTGGTTCATATCAAACTAAGAATCGGACATGCTATTGCCAGGCGTTGCGCCAGAATGATTAAAACCAGGTGAGAATCCATTTTTATTAATTACTGCCTTTTTCAGAAAATAATTTTAATAAACGATGCTTAAAGTTAAAGTCATAACGCACAAATATATTTAACTTTTTGTTCACCACATTGTTTATTATTTCTGGCTTTATTTATGTGCGTGAATTTTTCCTGCTGATTTTAGCCAATGAATTCACTTAGTGCTAATGGTTCCTTGCAGCGTCCGTGGCTTAGGCGTTGTGAGTCCGACTCGTAATCCAACGTACCACGATCGAAACTAACTGCTGGCTGCGTGGATTTTTATTATGGTATGGGGTGTCGCAGGTCGACCCAGCCTAAAATAGGTACCAGGATGGCTGACCTGGGAAAGTAAAGACGGCCGGCGTAATGCTGACCACATTACCCACCAAGTGCTGATTGGTCTGTAAAAATATGGGACGCTGATCCCAATTACCCGATGTGTCTAAGGCGTGAAAAGAGATCTTTACTTTTTACTTTTACTTTAATGGTTCCTTCGTCCAGCTACTGAGTTGAGTCCATGGCGATACAACATTGAGCTGGAAGTTCATGTGAAATGCTTTTCATCCTATGCTCAAAGTGGTTTTCTTGTAAACTTCTTTTCAGAAAATGGAAGTGGCTGTTTGCCACAGACTGCTGGCATGACTTATGCAGTAGTGATTGAGCAACTGCTGTTTTGTTACGACTGGTTCCTGAATTGACTATGACTTTTAGTAATTAACTGTTGGTTTTAACACCCCTGGGAGCTGTCTTATGCATTTAATGGTTTGTGCTTGCTGTGGACCTTTCCAGGACTGCTGTCTGTTCATCTTTTCCCATAGTCAGTGGAAGGCTTTTTTTGTGTGGTTTTTTCCACACTTGCATGGGAATGAAGAAACTATAAAGTGACTCATTTGCTGTGAAGATAAAACTGTGCTTTTGGCTAATGACAGAGTTGTTAATAATACATAAGAGTGCTTATATTTGATTTATCTTGAGGCAAGATGAAACAACTGTGTTTCATTGATTTCTTCCTCTGCCTTTCTAGCCCCCATGGAGCATAGGCCCTTAACCAACTCATTCCAAGTCATTCTATTATTTGCTATCGCATGCAGCTCTCCCCATGTCCTCCCAATCTTTTAACTTCATTCTCCAGCTTCCTTCTCCATGTTTTTTTGTGTGGGCCTTCCTTTATTCCTATGCCCCTGTGGGTTTCAGTGCAAATATATTTTAGATATATTGTTCTCCGGTTTTCTCAAGGTGTGTCCTATCCAATGTCAGCATCTTTTCTTTACCTCTTGGTCTACTGGAGCTTGCTTAGTTCTCTCTCAAAGCTCTACATTAGTGATTATATTGTACTATTAAATCCCTCTATTCTGTGCAGGCACCAGTTAATGAATGTCTGTGGTTTATTAGTAATTGCCCTAGTTGTTCTCCATGTTTCAGCTCCATTGTTAATGATAACTAAATATTTGTTTTAATGTTTGTTTGTTTTTCTCTTTGTAGAAATCTCTCTGGAGATGGCTTGTTTGTGTGGGCAGACAGCATAACAGTGCTGACTGCAGCACAATCAATCAACCAGCTGACTGTGTCAAAGGACGTTTCCCTGGAGACAGAGATTCTCTTTGTGATGGGTAAAAATGTAGTTTACAGTTGTGAACTAGAGAGGTTTGACAGAACCAGTGTTGCCACTTTAGATGTTTTACATCCAGATTTAGATGTTTTTCTTGCATTTAGATGGCGTTTTTGACGTTTAGATGGTAGATGTTTTTCTAGAAGTTTTTCATTTGGAGTGAATTTATCAAATCTAACTTAAGAAGCAGAATGAAATTTGACCTCTTAAATGCTATCATGACAATAAAATTCAGCCTGATAAGAGTAGGAAAATGCTGTTCCACTTATCAGCTCCCTGATTGGGTATTAAAAGAAATTGGAACAGCTAAAGCATACCAGAGTCATTTTGGATCTGAAGCTTCAACTTCATCATCCAAGCTAAGTTTATCCTGTGAATCTTGTGAGGCAGACTTCAGTAAAGATGAGGACATGATTCTATAGGGTAAGTTATATTATTGCTTTTTAGCGAAAGTTAATGGTCGACGTTTGGTGCAGCAGAGCCTAGCATATGATACCACAACATCCAGCTCAAGAATGGAGGTGGAGGTGGTCACTGCAGCTTTCCGCTGGCTAGAGAACACGACACACACACACACACATTGTAATTGTAACTGATTCAGAAAGCATGCTGAGGAAGATCAGAACAGGTATGCTTCGCTGCGGATGACACGATTGAGGAGTATTGTCTGGATTTTTTCACCGGGTCACGCCGGTGTGTTGGGAAATGAACAGGTGGACAGACTGGCTGGCTCTGCACTGCACAACTTGGTGGAATACTGCTACATGATAGGGCAGACGTGGTTAGTGCCTTGTGGGAGAGCGTGTACAATGCGGAGGAGCAGATGGATCACCACAGTTTGGTGAGATTGATGCAGTTGGGGGTGACGAGAGGTTCTGGCAGAAGCTCAAGGCTCAGAGGAAAGGCAAGATGGACATTTAATCAGAAAGCTACTGGCACCATTAGTATCGGAACTCTTCGCTGGCTGCTGAAGATGGAGACGGAGCGCTTATGGGAATGCCCCGGGTGCTGTGATGTCGGTTCTTGAATCAAATCAAATCAAATCAAATCAAATTGCTATGTAATTTGTGACTCTTTCCATTTGGATATTTTTTCTACATTTTTTCCAAGCAAATTTAGATGTTTTAAGATATTTTTTGACTCCTTTTTGGATGTTTTTTGTCAAAGAAAAGTGGCAACACTGGACAGAACTAGTGAGGGAAGCTAAGCAGACAACTAACAGAGGTTCCCAATACTTTTTAACATTCTGCCAATTTTTATGATTCACCTTTACAGTCCTGTTCAGTTGTAACTAAAAATTGATTGATAAATTATCATCATGTGCTGTGTCTGTAAGTGTAGACTGTCATGTTTCACCATCTCACACAATCACTAGAATCACAGATCAGGCCAGTGTTCTTACCTCGCGCCATTCATGTGGCCAAGCCGTTCAAGTACTTATCTCTTTGTTTGCTCTTTTTCCATCAACCTTGCCTTAGGTTAACATAAGTTTTCAAATTAATTTCTTGTCATACTGTGTAAAAAAAAAAAACACTACTTCATTTGTTTTTTTTGAGAACCAGGTATTTTTTTAAAATAATTTTTATTTGTTGTGGTGTGGATTTGAAACCTAGGCCTTCGGGCAATCCTCTGTATGATGTCTGTTGAGGGACCATTTCTGGGAATACTGACATCAAGTTGAAGAAGTTATGAAAACCTATACTGGAGGAGCAAACCCATTCAGTATTTTAGATTTTCACTGGGAAAATAAAAATAAAAGTTACTGGCTACAGATGCTAAAAACATGTACCAGCAAAGAGGAAAATAGGCAGTTAACCACTTAATTATAATCTCAAGTTCGAACACGATGAATCAATACAGAAAGCATAGTAGCAACAGTGATATTGCCAGTAATAATAATAATAATGATAACAACAACAGTTCTCCTCCTCCTCCTCCTTACTCGTGTGTTGACCAGCTGTAAACTCCAGCAAAACTTTCTGGTTGTTTGTCCACTTCTGGACTTTAGACTTGTTCCAAAACTCGATTTTTGCATGCACATCCGTTTTACAGATGTGGTATATTTATGTGCAGACTGTTGTTTCCTCGTCTCTCAGGCAGAATAACTTAGACTTTAAAGGAAACACCCTTAATTAGCAGACTTTGAGACAAGCTTGTTAAGAAGGAAGTGGATCTGTTCTTTCCTCCTCTACAATGCTGCCCCGGAACCAACACGGGAAATAACAACAGTAATACAAGAAGAGTTAGTTATGCATAAAAAAAAAGGTAATAGCCTAGGGATTTACAGGACAATGCAGAGCCAACCCCAGCATTTTTTAGCTATTGTGGTTTTTTAAGGCAAATTTTAGATTCAGTAGTTTGCCATTGTGTACTGAACCGTCGGCTGTCGGTACCAGTGTAGAACCCAATGCCAGAAAGTTGTCCGCAGCTGGGATCGAACCCTGCCCCCTGGCATTTTAAAGCACATACACAACACCTTAGCTACAGACTAGTTATACATAATAAGATGTAAAAGTTACAAATGGATTTCTAACCTCTGACCAGGGAAAGTTCAGAAAATGATGGTTTTCCTGAACATGATGGAAGCCAGAGAGGCTGCAAATACTCTGCTCAGAGCCATAAAAGCTTCATATAACAGTAACCGGGATCTGGGGTAAGCCATTGTGTGCTGTTTTCTAATGCAGATATTTAATTTGCATGCTAAAGTCCTTAGCCTTGGTTGGCAGCTGGTGTGGAAGGAAATCTCCAACAGGTGAACAGACAGCACTGCTTTTCTGATTCTGCAACTTCAGCAACATGCTTTGTTCCCACAGTATTGGTGTTACCTTTCCTATGGAATAAATAAGGCTGGCGGAGAGAGAAAGATCATGCTGCATGGGGAAACATGGTCTCTACAATACTATCTAGGTTTTATTCTATGGAGAGGATAATCTTTATCCATATGGGTAATGTGGTCAGCATTATGCCGGTCGTCTTTACTTTCTTAGGACATACATCATGGTACCCATTTTAGGCTGGTTCGACCTGTGACGACCCAAACCATGATAAAAATCCACACAGCCAGCAGTGGGTTTTTGTTCATAGTACGTTGGAATTACGTGTCTGACTCGCAACAATTAAGCAACAGACGCTGCCAACAAAGGTCATATACAAAGGAAAATGTTTCGCATCTGAACAGAACATTTATCAAGTTGAACATATACCAAAGCGAACACATACCAAGTTGCCTCTGTATATCTTTTTGGGAGGTCATTAAAAGGCATCTTACTGCCTTAAAGTTATGTACAGAAGATAGTGTGTATGTATTTTATGATTAATGTAGGAGAATCAAGATTGCAGTTTTCTCTGTAACCAGGCATAGACTAGTAGGAATAAACTCTTTCATTTTGTTAGTATTCACCGGCTGTAAGCTGGGGCAGTAATTTCTGGCTGTTCATCCACTTCTGGACTTTGGTCATGTTCTAGAACTTGAATTGTGCTTGCATATTCTTTTCACAAATCTGACTTATTTGTGTGCAGACTTTTAGTTCCTCACCTCTTAGGCAGATGCACCCAGATCTGCAAGGAAACACCTCTAGTTGATCGACTTTTTCGACATGCTTGTTGGGGTGTGTCTTTGTGTGAGGAGGAGGAGGGGGGGGGGGGGGGGGGGGGGGATTGCATCTATCTATTCTGTTTTCCCCACAGTGGGACCCTGGAACCTACATAAAGAATGGGAATAAATAACAGGAAAGACATATTTCTGTGCATTGTGGAAATTCTGGTTTTTGTTTCAGATTGATGAGACAAGCCTACCTAGAAATGGCCCTGATCTACATGTTCAGTTCTGGAGTGATGACAGTGACTGAACACTGTCATCTAGAGCCTGCCATGGAGCCTAATTTACATATTTTAAACAGCAAGTCAGAACTAGAGGTAATTAGTAAGAGACATACACAGTTGTGGGAATGTCCAGTAATTGTTCTAACCAAACACAACAACAAAATTTGTGAAGTGCTTTAAACAGGGAAAAATATATGTTTTAGACATGTCTAATATTACCACGCACAAAAATAATAGTCATTATTTAACCAGAATATAAACAAGTATTTAAGGTGTGTCTTCTTCTTCTTCTTTTATCATCACACTGTTACCAGGTTGTAACCCAGTGTTGTGGTTTTCTGTATTTGTCTTGTGCTTCTTGGGTGGCTTCAGTGGTGGATTTGTTCCACTTTTTGCAGGTTTCATCTACACTATTTATCCATCTCTTTCTCTGTCTCTTGCCTTCCTCTCAGATGTTCTACATAAAAAGTCTGATATACAGTTTGGTCTGGCTGCCTTCTCACTAGATGGCCGAACCATTTCATTCTTTGGCTGTCAGTATAATCCAGACATTGTCCTATTCCAACTTTCTCTCTAAAGTTGCTGTTCGTAACCCTGTCTCGTGTTGTGTTGTTAGTGATAATGAATGAAGGTGTGTCTGCTTTCACAAAATTCTTATTTGGCAAGGCTCAGTATCTAATGCACTTACCTGGCAGTTTAGAGATCTTTAATTCTTTACATAATTCTTTAGCTGGCAAAAATGTTGTGTATATCTTAATTTTATTTCATAAGTATTTAAAAAACATATTAATTTCTCGCCTTCGTGAAATAGTATTTATTCTGAATAAAATGTATTCTTTTCACTTCAAAAAAAACAAAGGAAGAGGACAAGAAGGGGGATGAAGAGGCGGCCGAGAAAGAGAAAGAGAAAGAAAAAGAGAAAAAAGTAGCTCGGCTGGCAATATCTTGCGCAGCAGCTGTTGCACAAGCTCAGTGGTCAAGGAACCACATTACCGGGGACATTGGTGTGATCACTCAGAAACTGGAGGAGAAGACTTTGAACAGCATACCTGACTTTCTCTTGCTGGACCTTCTTGCTAGAAATGTTCTTGGGGAGAAGCAGAAGGTGTACAAGAGTAAGCCTTTTGTGTGTGTTGTTTTATTTGTTAGATAGTTAATTAGTTAGTTTGCTGGTTGGTTGGTTGGTTAGTTGGTTGGTTGGTTGGTTGGTTAGTTGGCTGTTTGGTTGGTTGGCTGCTTGGTTGGTTGGTTGGTTAGCTAGTTTATTAGTTAGTTAGTTAGTTTATTAGTTAGTTAGGTAGGTAGGTAGGTGGGCGGGTAGGTAGGTAGGTAGGTAGGTAGGTAGGTAGGTGGTAGGAGGTAGGTAGGTAGGTAGTTAGTATCATCATTGCACTCCGGACATGTCCATAGGTGCTCAGATCCTCCCCTCAGTATGAACCTCAGTGTTTTGAGGCTTATAGTACCAGTTCTCTGTTGATTAACAAGTCCTCTGATGTGCCTGCTGTGTGCCTTGCTGTTTGCTATTCCACTTTTGAGCTATTCCAATCTTAACTCCCAAGTCTATCATTCTGGGGAGTTATGTGGATTCACTGCTCCCAAAGTCCTTCACCCTTTTTATTCTGTAGAGGGCATTCATAATATCAGCATGATCCATAGGCTGACCATGGGTAGGGATAGTGGATCCAGCTATTTTGTTTTATTTGTGCTTCATTATAAATTTTGCTGATGCTTCAGTGTCTACTCTTAGCAACTCAAGGTCATTAATGCTTTCAGAATGAAACAACTCATCAGATGTTTCTTGGTCATTGCAAAGATAATGTGGTGTTGTTGCTGTTTTTTATCATGGACATATTATTTTAAGCCGGGAACTTTAAGTTAAAACCTTAAACGTGGGATAGAAAGTGCAATAACCTCGCCACAGGCAGCATTTTACAAAATGAAGAATACTCAATGCAATTTTCTTGTTCAGTTTAGACAAGATAGAGAATTCTTAAAAGCTGTGTACACTCTGTCCTGATGTATGACAGGGAATCATGGACAGTTGGCCAATTATGAAAACTTTTTTTGGAGCCATGGAGATGTCGTTTTATAGACAAAGGATCAGAATGCCCTGGACAGATGACAAAGTAATGAAGGTGTCTTGAGGGAAGCTGACTCACAAGGAGAACTGATTGCCCACATAATTTCAGAAGAATGAGAAAACTGCTGTACCTCTTGATATTGGGAAAGCTGGAGGGGAAGAGTGGCAGAGGGAGACAGAGAGAGAAGGTGCTGGACAGTTTGACAACATGGCATGGTGGATCATCTGTCTTTGACATGCATGAATAAGGAGCATGAATAAGATCCAATGTAGTAATGCATGTCTGTCAGTTTTGCAAGGGTATGAGTGGAACAGGAAGTTTCAAAACAGTGTTACTTCTTTGACAGACTGTTGCCTGACCAGGTTGTGAATAGTCCACTATAAAAAAGTGGATGTATACCTAGGTTGCACTGTACTTGTCTTTGCGTGCATTCTTTTCATTCCTTTCAATGAGTTGTCTAGTGACAGTTTGTGTTGTGTTTAGTTCTTTTTTTTAATCAGCTGCAATCTCTCCTGTTTACATCCTTGTCATGTGACGTCTCTCATAAATATAATCTCTGTTCGGTGTGGATTCAAACCCATTCATTCCAGATCCAAATGAGAAACTGAGACAGTTGCTCCTGGTTAGTAAGTGTAGACAAACTTCCTGGATAAACAGATACAGCGTAAGAGTGGCTTGCAAAATAGATTAAGCTTACAGAGAAGGAAAGAGGAAATATAGATTGTTTGTTGGCACCTCTCCATCTTTCCAGATGATAGTGTTGTGGCTATGAGGAGGTGTGGAACTTACAGTTCATGGCGATGGTGAATGTGTCTAGCAAGACCCCACATTTCAGGGCTTTTGTCAGTATTTCTGTTTGATCTGTTTCTTCTCAGATGCTCAACGGTCATCCATTCTGCAATCATTTCTTCCTTTATTCTCATTCCCTTCCTACTGTGCCCACTCCACCCAATATAGTCCTTGGCATTTCGTTCCCATGAATCTACCTCAAAATCGTTATGGAGATTTAGATATAGATAAAATTATTATAAATAAATGACATTTTAGACATTTGCAAGTATGTTATTAATGAGTTAAAATCAGCGGATCATTGTTATCAAAGTTTGATCAGTCAGTATGATGATGGTTGATTCTGTGATTATACCAACAATTACATATGACTGAAATTAAAAGAATAAAAGAAACAACCTGGAGACAGGCCATGTGAAACTCTTTTCTAGATTTAGCTTCAGTGGGGTTGCTAAACAACAAGGGAGATAGAATGCAGCCTTGTTTCACTGCAGTTTCCACCAAAAACCAGTCAAATAGACCATTTTCAGGGTGCACTGCACATTCTGAACCATCATATAAATTTCTTATAATGTGTATTATTATCATAGTGAAATTCTACACACACACACACGCACGCACGCACGCCTGCACGCCCGCACGCCCTCACGCCCTCACTCCCTCACTCCCTCACTCCCTCACTCACTCACTCACTCACTCACTCACTCACTCACTCTCTCACTCACTCACTCACTCTCTCTCTCTCTCTCTCTCTCCCTCTCTCCCTCTCTCTCCCTCTCTCCCTCTCTCTCCCTCTCTCCCTCTCTCTCTCTCTCTCTCTCTCTCTCTCCCTCCCTCTCTCTCTCCCTCTCTCTCTCCCTCTCCCTCTCCCACTCTCTCTCTCTCCCTCTCTCTCTCCCTCTCTCTCTCTCTCTCTCTCCCTCTCTCTCCCTCTCTCCCTCTCTCTCCTCTCTCTCTCTCTCTCTCTCTCTGCATCTTTTAAAAGACTATTTACTGAATGCATTCGTTTTGTTTATTTTTCTGATACAGATGAAATAGAAGAGGAATTAAGTGTTTTGTCTGAAGCCACTGAAGTCAGAAGTGCAGAACCATATGACAGTCAACTGAAAAAAGTTAGGGATTCTGCAAAGGTTTTAAAATGGAATCATTTACTGGGTAAGAATAATTTTTTAGATGACCCCATAAATAAGTTGAGAAGTAAGAATAATAATTCATCTGTACTTACATTGAGGCTGACGTTGACCACCCGCTGAGTGTTATTGTCTATAAAATAGAGGTCTAGCACTATATGCCCATTGTGCCTAAAGGCGTGGGAAAGTGTCATTCACTGATGCTTATGGAGCTGTGGCAGTGTAGTCACGATAGATGCTCACTTACCTGTCTGAAGTTCTTGGGTTTTTATTTAATTTTCCCCGTGTGAGTTCCGGGGCCCTATTATAGGGGGAAAAAGAATAGACCCACTGCTTACCTCAAAGTATGTCGTAAGAGAAGACTAATTGGGAGCTTCGTTTAAAGTCGGAGTGCATCTGCATGAGAGGCAAGGAACCAGTAGTCTGCATACAAATGAGTCAGATACGTAAAATGGATGCACACGTAACACTCAGGTTCTGGAACAGGCCTGCAGTTCAAAAGTGGATGAACAACCAGAACTTTCCGCCAGAGTTTACAACTGGTGAACACGAAGAAGGAGAGGAATTACAATTTTTTTTCTTCAAAATTAACCCTTTTTCCCAGATTATCTCCGGCTAGACTGGGAGGTAAAAGTGGCTGGCGGGATGTTGATCACATGACCCATTTAGTGCTGACTGGTTTATATAAATATGAGTCAAGCATTATGTGCCTGATGCAACTGTGGCGAAGAGAGGATCCTTGACTTGACTTGCTTAACGCTGATATAATGTACACTGGGCATATAAACAGCATGGATAGGTGGTAGATTAGTGAACAATTATTTGGAAGCTGCAGAGATGTGGTTTTATAGATGAATGATGAGAATACCCTGGACAGATAAAAAGAGTAAAGAGGTTGTCTTGAAAGAAACTGACTCATGAAGAGAACTGATTACCCACATCAGAAAAAAAACAATCTACATTCTTTGGTCATGAGATGAGAAGGGGAAAACTCATGACAGTAGGAAAGTTGGAGGGGATAAGAGGCAGAAGGAGACAGAAAATAGATGCTGGACAGTTTGACATCATGGCATGGAAGCTCATCTGTATCAGAGTTGATTGAAAGTACACGAGACAGAAGGTTGTGGATAGATATGACTTCCAACACCACACGGCATAGACTTTAAGAAGAAGATGAAGTGTGAATAATCTACCTTGTGCAGCAAAGTAAGAAATCTGACAACTGTTGTTAACTGCCTGTATTTATCCCTTTTGAAGGTGTGGGTGCAGGCTTTTGAGTCTGAGGATTTAGGGCAGTATAACTAGTGTGGCCACAACAGACTATGTGGTTTATTTCCCCCCCCCCCCTTTTCCCCCAACAGAATCAGTGCCACACAGTCAAACAGTCCTTACCCCACAGCTACTGCCTAGACCTTTCTGTAGAGTGTAGTTATCAGAAAAAGTTCCAGATTTGTCTCAAAGTTTATGGTTTATACAACGGATCACCATCACATCACATGGGTAGCAACCCATAAGTGCTCAGTTCTACTTCTAACTCAAGCTTTAGTCCAAAGGATCTCATCGCATTGCACGACCTCTGTAGCACCACTGAGGATCCTGAAATACTTTGGGTAGATTTTCAACTTCACATTTTGCCTGGGCAGCCCCGTTAGGCTACTCTTTTCGATTTCCAACTGCCAAGGGATTTTTACATGTGCAGCAATACACACAGGCGTTCAATCTTACTACCCTGAGAACAGAGGAAATTACCAGAAGTCCACGTGAAAAAATCCCAGTCTTTACCAGGGCCTATCTTGGCATACTGCTAAAAGAAGTAATATTGTTATTCATGAATTATTAGCAAACAAACAGAAGACATGCTTAGAAAAATAGTGCAGGGCATGCTTAGAAAAATAGTGCAGGGCATGCTTAGAAAAATAGTGCAGGGCATGCTTAGAAAAATAGTGCAGGGCATGCTTAGAAAAATAGTGCAGGGCATGCTTAGAAAAATAGTGCAGGGGAGTAATGTTTTTCTGTCTATCATTATGTTATCCCATGACACTTAACTGCAGAAGTGGTTTTTTATGATGATGATGATGAAGAAGATGATGATGATGATAGTTAGTTAGTTAGGTTATCATCATTGCACTCCAGACATGTCCATAGGTGCTCAGATCCTCCCTTCAGTATGAATCCCAACTTCCGATGGCTAATAGTACCAGTTCTATGTTGATTAACAAGTCTTCTGGTGTGCCTGGTGTATGTCTCGTTTTTTGCAATGCCGATCTTAATTCCCATGTCTGCCATTTTGGCAAGTGAGGTGGATTCACTGCCACCAAAGTCCTCTACCCTTCCCATTTCTCTGAGGGCATTAATAATATTAGCATGATCCATAGGCTGACCGTCGGTAGTGATAGCGGATCCAGCCAACCTATTAGCTCTATCATTTCTATCGAGGCCTGTGTGTCCCGGAACAAAAATAAAGGTGACTCCACGCACAGTGGACTTCTGTAATGATTCAAGCCATTGTCTTCGCACAGAACCTGCCTGAACCCTTTGGATGATGATGATGATGATGATGACTGTTGTAGTCAGCACTGAGACTTTTGTTTGAGAAAAAAAGCCTTAGATGTATCCAAAGTGAATCACAGTTTGTATATATTGTTTTCCCTATGTCCAAAGGCTACCAGACCATCTTACAGCGTCTGGTCAGTACTGCCAGTTTGGCAATGGCCAGCTACCAGACAGATGGAACCAAAGCGAAAGAGAATCAGTTGAATCTGCAGCTGACAAGCTGTGCTAAATCTGGCAAGAACCATGATGTCGTTAGATATATGTTGCTGTCAGGTAGGTTGGCTGTTTAGGAGTAGAGTGGACACGTGTGATGAATACCTGGAGCTGTACCAAGCAACCCACTCACTTGATTAAAACAATTACTAGAATAATTTTGAACTGGAAATTACAGGGTTAAAAAAAATAATTGAATAAAAGCAGACCAAAAAGCTATTAGCCATCGGACGTTGGGGTTCATACTGAGGGGAGGATCTGAGCACCTATGGACATGTCCGGAGTGCAATGAGGATAACCCAACTAACTAACTAACTAACTAACTACACCAAAAAGCACATGATAAGGATTTATAGAGTAAGTCTTTCCTCTTGAGCCTAGGGCGGTGCATAGGGCAGAGGCCATAGCTCTCCATGTCTGGCGGTTTGTTGCCACCTGTTTTAGGTCTTGGGTGTTCATTAGGCCCATGATTAAGCCTTTCCCTGCTGATGGTTCTACGCAAAGTCTCTCTTCACCTTCTCAGTATCTTTTACCTTCTGGTGTCCACATTGGGAGGGATTGATGGGGAAGTCTGGTCTGATCCCTTCTCAGTGCATGTTCAATGTAGTTCCAGCGGCGCTTTCTTAAAAAATAGGAAACTTTATCTTGCTTGGTCTCTTTATTTATAGAGGGAGGAGATGAGGGGGGGCGTGGATTGATGGGTTGAGCTACATGTCACAACAGAAGATAAGATGATTAGGCTTGAAGTCCTTGAGACCCTATGCTCCATTGAGGGAGAAAGGGCGGAATAAGTAGGCAAAGTTCACTATACAATTATTAGGTATACTTTTCTTTTTATCCTATGTATCATTCTTTTTCTGTACTAATCCATTTATCCCAGTTGTTACTAACTAAAAAAAAAAAAAAGTAAAGGTCCCTTTTCATGCCTTTAGGCATATTGGGCATATGGGAAGAGCACCCATGTTTTTACCGACCGTCGGCACTAGGTGGGTAATGTGGTCAGCATTACACCGGCCATCTTTACTTCCCCAAGACAGCCATCCTAGTACCCATTTTAGGCTAGGTCAACCTGCGACAACCCATACCATGATGAAAATCAACGCAGCCAGCAGTGGGTTTCGATCGCAGTTCGTTGGAATTACGAGTCTGACTCGCAAAGCCTAAGCCACGGATGCTGCTTGTTACTCATTAAGTTCAGTCATATTTATATACAGTTGACTCAATAATATGCCATCATCATCAAGTGCCTTGTTGACCAGCGAAAGCAATAATGCCTCTTCACAATCTGCCATCTTGAGCAGTGTGTATCAGTTTATGTGCTGACAACTTTCCATGTCACTACAAAAATCTATCAAGAATCTTCTTGAATTATCTTCCTCTGTATCTGTTCCACAGATCTTTCCAAGGGTTACAACATATTCCACTTTCCATCTTCCCATATTATGACTAAAAAGATGACTGTCTTTTTCTGATGTTTGTGATACATTGTCTTTGAGCCCTCACCTTTTTCAAAACATCTGCGTTGCCATTTTTGGCTATCCAAGGAATTCTAAGAATTCTGTAAAACCACATCTCTGAGGCCTCAAGTAACTGTTTGGCTTGTTTATTAATTGTCGAAGATTCACAGCAGCCATATGTTGAGACAGGCTCTATATAGCATGCAGGAATTCATTCAAAAGACCATAGACTTTTAATTTTGCTTGAGAAATGTCTTGTAAGATACTAAATTTTTTTCGAATTATTATAACCAGATTCTGGAAAACATACCATTTTCGTAAACACATAATATTTTGATTTCTTCTCCCCAGCTGGGTGGCAGATTCGTCTGATAAGCATGCACAGCTTCCTGTCTGCAAACCTCAAGACCTATGATGAAGTGTGCTGTGCTCCATTCCCACCTGCAGACTTAAACTTGGCCAGACAAAATCAGACAGCAGCTGATTCAAAAATCGGCCGGAGATCAAATATTGCCATGCAGAGCATGGATGCAGAAAATATTCAACCAAGCAACCTTGTATGTGTACTTATTTTTCAAACATTAAATATAAATAAAGTATACTATGCCCTGTGGAAGAACAAAGGAAGCAAACGAGAATGTGGTCAATATCGAAGCATCTCTCTTTTAAGCCATGTTGGCAAAATGTATGCCAAGATAATAGAAACAAGACTGAGACCAGTGATAGAACCACAGCTGGCAGAAGAACAGATGGGATTTAGGAGAAATAGAAGCTGCACAGATGCAATCTTCACACTAAAACAGTTAATAGAAAAGAACATTGAATACAATAAAAACTTATTTGTGGCATTCGTAGACCAGGAGAAGGCATTTGACAGAGTCGACAGACAATTATTATGGAAAGTAATGGCAAGATATGGAGTTAGCGAACACCTCATCGAAGTGTGCAAAAGTTTATACAGGGATTGTAGAAGTGTAGTTAGAATAAATCAGGGAACATCTCATCCTTTCACAGTGACATCTGGAGTAAGACAGGGGTGTGTCTTATCACCACTGCTGTTTATCACCTAAATCGACAGTATATGCAAGAATGCCAAGCCCATGAATGAAGATCTTAGTAAGATCAACGAATTACTCTTTGCAGATGACCAGGCCTTGATAGCAGATACAGCCATGAAATTGCAACATCTAACATCCATGAATGAAGAATGTAAAACAAATAATATGAGAATCAACACTGAAAAGACAGAAGTAATGTCAATAGGAAAAAAGAAGACAGATCTAAACATAGCAATAGAATACAAAGGCATCAAACAGGCATTTGAGTTTAAATATCTGGGAACTACATTTACCGAAGATGGGAAATTGGATAAAGAAATTAACATTAGATGCAGTAAAGCAAACCAAGTATTGGGACAGCTAGCCCCCCTCTTACAGCATAAGACAATCCCAATCAGCACAAAGAGACATCTTATTCGAAGCATATTTATTCCAACTCTGTGCTACCAGTGCCAGACATGGTCACTTACAACAAACCATTAAAGAAAATTAGTAACCACGGAAATGAGATGTCTGAGAAGGGCTGTAGGAGTGACCATAAGAGATAAGATCAGGAATGAGATCATAAGAGAACAAGTCGGCACAGAACCAATTCTGGATTACATACAAAGACAGCAAGTGAAATGGTTTGCCCACTTAGAGAGAATGCCTTGTGACACCATACCATACAAAGCATGCATAGAAAGAGAAGAAGGACGTAGAGCACGGGGTAGACCAAGAACAAGATGGAAGGATAACATCAGAGAAACTCTACAACAGCACGATGCGCCTATGGTCGAGGCAGCCAGAAGAGCTAGAAACAGAACCTTATATCTCCCTCGACACCCACAGCGGTAAAAGAGGAAGTGAAGAAGAAGAAGAATACTATGCCTTTCATCGTCTGCTAAGGTCAAAGTCTCCATTTCACAATTCCAAGATTAAAAATGTAAAACAGAGATAAGACCATTAGTTTTAAATGGCTCTGAAACTTAAAGCACAACTCTGGCCTGTGACGATTGTGAAAAATCCTCATTTTTTCAAAAATTGTTGCCTCTGAGTGAACTTAGTTGAATAGCCCTGCTATAGAGTGTCCTTGCACATTTTTGAAGCCAAACAGTTGGCTTGTCTGTTTATGTTAAAAACTCTACAGTCATCATAAATTTGGCAGCTATCAGATTCTACTTTGTATGCCTCTATTCAAAATTTATTAGCGACAGAGAAGAAATCTCTAGAATTTCAGAGAGGACAAAGACTTTGACAGAATCTACAGAAGAAAAAAAAAAGAAAAACAGGGTCACGTTAGCTTTCTGTATCCCAGGCGACACGTGACTGAGGCCCTGTTAGGGTATATTTTCCACCTCGATAATTTAGGACTGTTATTCGAAGGATAGCCAAAAAATGAATTATGTCAAACAATATATAGGTGATATTTCTAGAAATGGTGGTGAGTGGGCACATTAGGAAAGGAATGAAATTAAAGGAAGAAATGTTTGCAGAAAAGATGAGAGTTGAGCATCTCAGAAAAAATAAACTTAACACAAATGTTGACACCGGCCCTGAAGTGCCATGCTATAATTGTGGGTGACGTTTCTTAACACAAGGGGGTCTTGCTAGTTACACTCACCAACACCATGGACTGTTAGTCCCATGCCTCATGATAGCAAAATGTAGCACGACCGCCTGGAAAGACGGAAAGGGCCAATCAATTTCTAGAAATGACATTGGCCACATTTTTCTCTAATGTTTTCAAGCACATGTTGTATTGGAACACTTGCTAGCTGAATGGTTCACATTGCTGGATTTTCAACTGGATTCAAAACCCCATTTGGGTGCTGCCTGTAGAACAAGTACTAACCTGCACAGTCCGTGGTGACTCCACTAGCTATGGAACCTTACATTTCCAGTCTCATAACTCCTCTGCCTTGCACATTCCGTGGTGACTCCACTAGCAATGGAACCTTAAATTCTCAGTCTCATTACCCCTTTTATCCTGCACAGTCCATGGTGTCTCCACTAGCAATGGAACCTTAAATTCCCAGTCGCATGACCCCTGTGTCCTGCACAGTCCATGGTGACTCCACTAGCTATGGAACCTTAAATTCTCAGTCCCATTACCCCTCTGTCCTACACAGTCCGTGGTGACTCCACTAGCTATGGAACCTTACATTTCCAGTCTCATAACTCCTCTGTCTTGCACATTCCGTGGTGACTCCACTAGCTATGGAACCTTAAATTCTCAGTCCCATTACCCCTCTGTCCTACACAGTCCGTGGTGACTCCACTAGCAATGGAACCTTACATTTCCAGTCTCATTACCCCTCTTTCTTGCACATTCCATGGTGACTCCACTAGCAATGGAACCTTAAATTCTCAGTCTCATTACCCCTTTTATCCTGCACAGTCCATGGTGACTCCACTAGCTATGGAACCTTAAGTTCCCAGTCTCATGACACCTCTGTCCTGCACATTCCATGGTGATTCCACTAACTATGGAACCTTACATTCCCAGTCTCATGACACCTCTGTCCTGCACAGTCCATGGTGTCTTCACTAGCTTTGGAACGTTAAATTATCAGTCTCATGACCCCTGTGTCCTACACTGCCCTAAAAAGTGGTTGAAAATGGGCAGTAGACACTTTGATGGACTACTGAATGCTTGATCCTAGCATTATGCTTTGATGGACTGCTGTAAGCTTGCTCCTAGCGTTATGCTTTAATGGACTGCTGTATACTTGATCCTAGAGTTACGCTTTGATGGACTGCTGTAAGCTTGATCCTAGAGTTCGCTTTGATGGACTGCTGTAAGCTTGATCCTAGAGTTATGCTTTGATGGACTGCTGTAAGCTTGATCCTAGAGTTATGCTTTGATGGACTGCTGTAAGCTTGATCCTAGAGTTATGCTTTGATGGACTGCTGTAAGCTTGATCCTAGAGTTATGCTTTGATGGACTGCTGTAAGCTTGATCCTAGAGTTATGCTTTGATGGACTGCTGTTTGCTTGATCCTAGAGTTATGCTTTGATGGACTGCTGTAAGCTTGATCCTAGAGTTATGCTTTGATGGACTGCTGTAAGCTTGATCCTAGAGTTATGCTTTGATGGACTGCTGTTTGCTTGATCCTAGAGTTATGCTTTGATGGACTGCTGTAAGCTTGATCCTAGAGTTATGCTTTGATGGACTGCTGTTTGCTTGATCCTAGAGTTATGCTTTGATGGACTGCTGTAAGCTTGATCCTAGAGTTACGCTTTGATGGACTGCTGTATGCCAATCTTTTTGTTTTCATACAATTTTTGTGTTAGTAATTAATATAACTGATTCTTCATCTTTTTGATTTTTCATAAATCATTGTATCTCTTGTAAACAATAAAGTTAAATCAGTTTATGTTTTATTTAAAATTTGAATTACTCATAAACCAATCTTTCTCTTTTACAAAAGACACATTTATTGATCTTTTAACAGAGAAGAGCAACTTTGGCATCTGCCCCAACTTATGAACAGAAGAAACTTGATGAGCAAATGTCTGCAGAAGGCGACTCTCAGTTGTCTGTTCAGTGGTACCAACCTAGTCTAGGGGAAGATGGAAGTTCTATTTCTGGTGCTGATGTCAATGAGAAAAGGATCCTACTTTTGTATGCTTTAACCAAAAGAGAGATGAAACCTGTCCAAGGCTTTAAGTGGGTATCACTGCAAAAGCTCTATGACCTGCATGACAGGTGAGTTTTCCTCTTGTCAAGAGACAGCCTTCCTTGAGGTATTGGGTTGGGGTTTGTTAACATTGTTATCATTATGTATAATCCATTTTCTAATTCTTGCCATTGTATTTCCAAGAGGAAGACCAAGAAAGAAATGGATAAATGGTATAGTTAAAACCTGCAAAAATATGAACAAATCCATCACCCAATCCACCTGAGAAGCACAAGACAAATACAGAAAAACATGATACTGGGCTATAACCTGGTATCAGTGAGACCACCAAAGAAGAAGAAGAGCCTTCATCAGCACAATATATAAATATGTAATACAGAAACTTTGAAATATTCTATAAAACTGTGTTGGATGTTAAGTCCCCTGGGCAAATTAGAGTCCATCTGAGAAATAAGGTGGTTCTCAAAAAATATATGAACTCTGTCATTGGAGTGGCTTGACTTGATAACCTTAACCTCCTTGGTGAGGATGCTTTGGGGACCTGATACTTGGTGACCCATCTGAAAACCTGTTTGGGTAAGGATTATGTTCTGTGTTCTGACTGACAGATGTTCAGTGCCACTATTCAGATGAGGATCACCCAGGCACAAGTCCCAGAAACCATGTTCAGCTGTAGCTTATATTTGGGCCCCTGATAACAGCCGAGGTAGGGCTTTTAAATATCAAACAAAAAGTTGTGTAAAACTGCATCCCATTTTGGGACGGATAATTCAGAACTCTCTTACCAGACTGACTTTTTTTATCCTACTAGGACATAACACTGAGTGATAAATACCCGGCAACACAAAGTGCAACAATTTGGATGAGGATCACCCGTGCAGAGGTCCCACAAACCCCATTCAACCATTAAGTTACAATTGAACCTCACTTAACGAGCATAATTCGTTCCAAAATCATACTGGTTAAGCTAAACACTTGTTATGCAAAACAATTTTTCTCATATAAATTAATGTAAAATACGATAATGCATTCCATGTCGAAAAAAATACTTACAAAATTCTATGTATAAAGTTTATTCAAAAAAAATTATATACATATTGTTAAGGAGAGTGAATCGTCTTCAACTTTTCTTCAAACGCGGAATAGCTCACCTGGAATGCGAATTTGATTTGCAGAAGAAAAAACAAAGTCGAAGAAATTATGATACGTAGCTAATTACCCTTTTTACTAGAAAGATGTCCAGAGACATTTGTTTTTGCTGACGCTTCAAAATTTGGCAAAAATGCGACACAGCATTATCATTAAATAAATTTGCAGCGCATAGCCACTTCCTTATTAGGGTGATGCTTCTCAATGTAAGATGCAACAGTTTCCCATGCTTTTAGCATTTCTCTTATTTCGCAGAAGATTGTTGATTTTCTGTTACCTGCCCCTTCTCCTCTGACAAACTTTTCCTCCAAAACTTCTTGCTGTGAAACACAATGCAACTTCATAATCTCTTCGGTGGTCAGCTCTTGGCTGTGCTCTTCCACAAGCTCTTTGTTATCACTGTTATCCACCTATAATTCCACGATAGTGGCCAAAGACTCAATCTCGTTGACTACAGGTTCCACAGGTACTGTCTCAAACCCCTCAAAGTCACAAATCGACAACGCTGTCCTGCCAAAGCTTCTTCCAAGCAGAAGTTTCCCCGCCTTGCCGATCATCTTGAGGCAGGCAATGATGTTGAAGTGATTTTTCCAAAACCCTTTGAGAGTGAGGTTGGTTCCTTCAGTCACCTGAAAACAATGTGTAGAGCTTCTTAAAGTTAGAAATAACTTGCTGGTCCATGGGCTGGAGTAACGGAGTGGTGTTGGGAGGCAGAAACTGGTTCTTGATGAACTTAAATACTTCAGGGAGGTCATTTTGTAGGCCTGGAGGATTCATGTACATGTATCATAATAATGAGAGATCACAAGCAACACTATGAGGCTACTGAAATGAGTGCTAAACACAGACTGATGAAACATTTGCATAATCCGGGACTGTCCCTCTCCTCGCTACTCGTTTTGAGAAACGTCGCTCGTTAGGCGTTAGGCAAGTCATTCTTTTACCATTTGCCTTGCTCGTTATGAGAGGTGCTCGTTAAGCGAGGTTCTACTGTTTCTTAAATTTTGTTTTTTAAATAAGTTTATTTGTCTGTAAAAAGTCTGTATACAATAATTGTGTGTCATCTGTATTGTATGTGTTATATTTACATGCGTCTGCGGTGTGTGTGTATTTGTGCAGTAATATTTACAGAGCGTTGCTTCGTGTTTGTATTTATGTTGCATGTGTATGCGTGACTCTGCGAACATATAAATAACAGAAGAAAGAGGGTGCACGGAAACATAGCAGGCGGACAGGGGCGGGACGTGGGGAGAAGGGGGAAGCAAAAGAAAGCATAGACAGGGCCATTCATTTTATTTACATTGCTTTCCGGCTAAATATTGTGAAAAGGTGAAAAATTTGACATTTTAAATTGCATAAAATTATTTACATTTCAAGCAATGCAAATATGGCGGCATCCGTGGCTAAGGCGTTGCGAGTCCGACTCGTAAGCCAGCATACCGCGATCGAAACCCACTGCAGGCTGCGTGGATTTTTGTCATGGTATGGGACGTCGCAGGTCGACCCAGCCTAAAATTGGTACCAGGATGGGCTGTCCTGGGAAAGTAAAGACAGCCGGCGTAATGCTGACCACATTACCCACAGTGCTGATGGCCTGTAAAAATATGGGACGCTCTGCCCATATGCCCGATGCACCGAAAGGCGTGAAAAGGGATCTTTACTTTTACATTAATGCAAATATGGGGAGGGAACACAAAAAATGAGTTTACCAACATATAAACAAACACCAGAGACCAGAAAGGGACACAACCAAATAGCAGGCGGACAGGGGCAGGAAAGGGGTGAGACGCGGAAAAGAAGATAGACAGGGCCACTTATTATATTTACATTTTAGCTTTAATTATTTCAACATTTGTAAAAGTGATATTTGGATAAATGCATCAAATATTTACATTTTTAGCAGAATGGGGAAGGGGGTACCAAAAAAGGACTTTACCAACAAATAAACTAACACCAGAGAAAGGAAGGGGAAAGCAACCACATAGCAGGCGGACAGGGGCGGGACATGAGGAGAATGGGAAAGCAACCACATAGCGGGCGGACAGGGGCAGTAACAATAAGAATGATGGTTAGGGCCACTCATTATATTTACATTTGGCCAGCATAATAAAATTGGAACATTAAACAGAGGGGAACAATGTATAAATCTGTCTCTAACTTCTTTACACACACAAAAAACCCACCAAAATCAAACAGTTTTTAGAACATGTCAATTATTTACATTGGAGAGCAAAGGGGGGGGGGGCACAAAAATAGGACTTTGGAACATATAAAACAAACGAAAGAGAAGAGGGGGGGGGGGGACAAAAACACAGTTCAGCAGCACGGGAGCGAACATCGTGAGGAAGACAGGGACACAAAGGGGGCCACTTGTTTTACTTTTCTTGGCAATTGTGTGATTCCACAATGAAACATAACAAAGGTATATACAAATCTATCTCCATCTTCTTTTACCCCACCAGGACATCATACAAGGGATAAAAACCTGATGACACAGAGTGCCACCATGTGAGTAGGATCACCCATGGAGAGGTCCCAGAAACTGCGTGCAGTTTACTACAACCAGGATAGGGCTTCAAAATAAAGAAAAATTCATACCATATAGGGACTGACTGACTTTCTACCCCACTAGGACATCACACAAGCGATAAGCACCCGAAGACACCATGTGGATGAGGATCGCCGTGGAGAGGTCCCAGAAACCGGGTTTAGACAATTGGCCATATTTATGGCCTGCCTATATTGTGGCCCCTGGCAAAAGCCAGGGTGGGGCTTCAAATAACAAAAAATTTCGTCCTAAAAAGGATGTAAGGATAACCACCCATATGTGGAGTGTGAGTGACTTTCTACCCCACTAGGACATCACACAAGCGATAAACACCCGATGACACAACGTGCCACCATGTGGATGAGGATCGCCGTGGAGAGGTCCCAGAAACCGCGTTCAGACATTTGGCCATTTTTATGGCCTGCCTATATTGCGGCCCCTGGCAAAAGCCAGAGTGGGGCTTCAAATAACAAAAAATTACGGCCTAAAAAGGACATAGGTAATTAACATACCCATATGTGGATGGAGATTAACGACTCTTACCTAGTATTTTGTGTAATAAAACTAATGTCTCTATTCCAGCCCTTGTGTTGGTATATAACATAAAATTAATTTATTTGTTTGTTATGATTTTAATGATTGAACTTATAACTACTACTTACTATTTGTTATTCTTTGTCTATGCCCAGGCTGTCCCTTCTGGTTCAAAAAGCAGACATGTGTGACATGATAAAGCAACACTCTTCTGTTCAAAGGGAAACAGGTCACAATACCAGAGTGAGCTCCCTTAGCTTGAAGCAGGAGGATCAACTTGAGGTAGTAATGTAGTTTATAAAAATAAGTAAAAAAAAAAGTGAAGGACCATTTTTCACATCCCTGGCACATCAGTGCCACCTTGTGTGAGTTCCAGGACGACATTGTGGGGAAAACAAGAATAGACCCATTGCCTGCCCAAAAGCATGTACAATTTGGCTAATCATGAATATCATTATTTATTTCTGATGTATGCGGATGAAGGTTTTGTTACCGCAGTATTAATTTTCTTATTTGTGAGTGTGGTTTTGTAAAGCGGACTACTTCAGATAGGACAGATATTTGTTCATAGTACTCAAGAAGCTGTGCTATAGCGGAAATCATGTAGATCCTCTATTTATCAGTCAAATAGATTTGTTGGGACACGACAAGGGATGAATGGGGAGGGAAGCCACTCTCTTTATATGGTGGAAAACGTTACTTGCACCCTTATTTTAATATCCCATGTATTTTAATATTCATCGTATCTCGTATTGCTAATATCCTTGTTTAAGTTTATTATATTATTGGTAAAAAACACTTTCTGCACTTTTCCTTGTGTGTTTTTTATTCTTCACAGATTGTGTTTAGAAAATGTCTAGATGATATATGGATGTTACTAAAAGGCAAACCTCAGAACAACAAAGAAATCCTTCCCAAGGTACAAACTGTTTTTTGAATTTTATATTACTAATTGTTTATAACAACTAAATCCTTTTTACTTTTACATAATTTGCCATACAAATCAAATTATCATATACAAACGCATGCACACAAATACTTCTAGCATGTGAACACACACACACAAACTGTTTTTTTTTTTTAGAATTCACATCTTTGCAGCCTCCTGTCTTTTTCTAATTGTTTTTTGTCATCATCAGTCAGCAGGTCTTTACAGAATGTCACTCTCGTTATTGCGCCTAAAAGTCCCTCTTTCTCTGGCCAGTTCTCCAGCCCTATGTGCTTTCATAGCCACAGCATTTTCAGTCTCTTGTATCCAACCTGCCGAGGTCTGCCACTGTCTTATTGTCTAGAACTCACTGTTCTCTTCAGGTTACCATGACATTTGACATGGCCAACGTTGTCATATCTATAGATTGCAATATGGCACACTTTAGAACTGCAAAATAATACTTTATCATATTTATAAACTGCAATATTGCACACACAAAACTAACAATTTAATATATTGTCATATCTTTAGACTGCAGTATCTCATAGCCCAAAAATAGCAGCATAATTCTGTTTCATATTTATGGGCTCTACCATACAACATGCTCCAGAACTAGCAGTTTAAGATCATTGTCATAATGATACGCTCCAGAACTAGCAATTTAAGATCATTGTCATATTGATACGCTCCAGAACTAGCAATTTAAGATCATTGTCTTATTGATATGCTCCAGAACTAGCAATTTAAGATCATTGTCATATTGACACGCTCCAGAACTAGCAATTTAAGATGATTGTCTTATTGATACGCTCCAGGACTAGCAATTTAAGATCATTGTCATATTGATATGCTCCAGAACTAGCAATTTAAGATCATTGTCATATTGATATGCTCCAGAACTAGCAATTTAAGATCATTGTCATATTGATACGCTCCAGAACTAGCAATTTAAGGTTATTGTCATATTGATACACTCCAGAACTAGCAATTTAAGATCATTGTCATATTGATACGCTCCAGAACTAGCAATTTAAGGTTATTGTCATATTGATACGCTCCAGAACTAGCAATTTAAGATGATTGTCTCATTGATACGCTCCAGAACTAGCAATTTGAGATCATTGTCATATTGATATGCTCCAGAACTAGCAATTTAAGATCATTGTCATATTGATACGCTCCAGAACTAGCAATTTAAGATAATTGTCATATTGATATGCTCCAGAACTAGCAATTTAAGATCATTGTCATATTGATACGCTCCAGAACTAGCAATTTAAGGTTATTGTCATATTGATACACTCCAGAACTAGCAATTTAAGATCATTGTCATATTGATACGCTCCAGAACTAGCAATTTAAGGTTATTGTCATATTGATACGCTCCAGAACTAGCAATTTAAGATGATTGTCTTATTGATACGCTCCAGAACTAGCAATTTGAGATCATTGTCATATTGATACGCTCCAGAACTAGCGATTTGAGATCATTGTCATATTGATACGCTCCAGAACTAGCAATTTAAGATCATTGTCATATTGATATGCTCCAGAACTAGCAATTTAAGATCATTGTCATATTGATATGCTCCAGAACTAGCAATTTAAGATCATTGTCGTATTGATACGCTCCAGAACTAGCAATTTAAGATGATTGTCTTATTGATACGCTCCAGAACTAGCAATTTAAGATCATTGTCATATTGATGCGCTCCAGAACTAGCAATTTAAGATGATTGTCATATTGATACGCTCCAGAACTAGCAATTTAAGATCATTGTCATATTGATATGCTCCAGAACTAGCAATTTAAGATCATTGTCATATTGATACGCTCCAGAACTAGCAATTTAAGATCATTGTCATATTGATATGCTCCAGAACTAGCAATTTAAGATCATTGTCATATTGACACGCTCTTCACAAAAGTGCTGGTCAGGAGTCCATCCATGATTTTGAAAAGATTAATATTCAAACTAGATAACAGGTTGATGATGATGATGAAGAACCTCACACGCCAAAACTAGCAATATAATACCCTTGTCATTTTGATATCCTCTGCAAACTCAGTATCTCATCATCATGTGCCATGCCAGTTAGCATAGCTGTTAGGGTATGGCATTTCTTGTGAAATGGGAATCATGGGTCGATTCAGTGTTTTTGTCTATCCCCCATCCATCTGGCCAGGCCATCCAGGTATTTGTCTCTTTGCCTTTCTCTTGCTCTCTTTCCATCACTCTTCCCAGTTGTTACCAAGTTGATTCTTTCTCATATTATTGAATGTCTACATCTAATGTTCTTATAAGTTTAAGACTTTCATCTGTCTCAGTGAGTACTGCTTCATTTGTTTTTCTATCCTTCCATATATCTTAACCCTAACAGACCTTAGGCCCCTAACCTAACTGTCCCCTATACCTGAGCTCCTGGGCATTAACCAACATGATATACACAAATATTAGTTACATGCAAACAAGTGGTTAGAATAAGATAAAACTTGGAGACATTGTAGAAAATAGGTTTACCTTTCATCTAGCGAAAAATATTGCACCTTTGAGTGCCAATCCACCCAACAGAATCAGTCTTGTTTCACAAAGTGAGCACCAGATGTTGCTGTTTGAGGGACACACCCCCTTTTCTTACTATCAATCTAGTTCTTGACCTGTAAGGTTAAAAAGTCTCCTCATCACTTGAGGTCTCACTGTCTGTATCACTTGAGGTCTCACTGTCTGTATCACTTGAGGTCTCACTGTCTGTATCACTTGAGGTCCCACTGTCTATCACTTGAGGTCTCACTGTCTGTATCACTTGAGGTCTCACTGTCTGTATCACTTGAGGTCCCACTGTCTATCACTTGAGGTCTCACTGTCTGTATCACTTGAGGTCTCACTGTCTGTATCACTTGAGGTCTCACTGTCTGTATCACTTGAGGTCCCACTGTCTATCACTTGAGGTCTCACTGTCTGTATCACTTGAGGTCTCACTGTCTGTATCACTTGAGGTCTCACTGTCTGTATCACTTGAGGTCCCACTGTCTATCACTTGAGGTCCCACTGTCTATCACTTGAGGTCCCACTGTCTATCACTTGAGGTCTCACTGTCTGTATCACTTGAGGTCCCACTGTCTATCACTTGAGGTCTCACTGTCTGTATCACTTGAGGTCTCACTGTCTGTATCACTTGAGGTCTCACTGTCTGTATCACTTGAGGTCTCACTGTCTGTATCACTTGAGGTCTCACTGTCTGTATCACTTGAGGTCTCACTGTCTGTATCACTTGAGGTCCCACTGTCTATCACTTGAGGTCTCACTGTCTGTATCACTTGAGGTCCCACTGTCTATCACTTGAGGTCCCACTGTCTATCACTTGAGGTCCCACTGTCTATCACTTGAGGTCTCACTGTCTGTATCACTTGAGGTCCCACTGTCTATCACTTGAGGTCTCACTGTCTATCACTTGAGGTCTCACTGTCTATCACTTGAGGTCTCACTGTCTATCACTTGAGGTCCCACTGTCTATCACTTGAGGTCCCACTGTCTATCACTTGAGGTCCCACTGTCTATCACTTGAGGTCCCACTGTCTATCACTTGAGGTCTCACTGTCTGTATCACTTGAGGTATCACTGTCTGTATCACTTGAGGTCTCATTGCCTGTATCACTTGAGGTCTCACTGTCTGTATCACTTGAGGTCCCACTGTCTGTATCACTTGAGGTCTCACTGTCTGTATCACTTGAGGTCCCACTGTCTGTATCACTTGAGGTCCCACTGTCTGTATTACTTGAGGTCTCACTGTCTGTATCACTTGAGGTCTCACTGTCTATCACTTGAGGTCTCACTGTCTATCACTTGAGGTCTCACTGTCTATCACTTGAGGTCCCACTGTCTATCACTTGAGGTCCCACTGTCTATCACTTGAGGTCCCACTGTCTATCACTTGAGGTCTCACTGTCTGTATCACTTGAGGTCTCACTGTCTGTATCACTTGAGGTCCCACTGTCTGTATCACTTGAGGTCCCACTGTCTGTATTACTTGAGGTCTCACTGTCTGTATCACTTGAGGTCTCACTGTCTGTATCACTTGAGGTCTCACTGTCTGTATTACTTGAGATCTCACTGTCTCTATCACTTGAGGTCTCATTGTCTATCACTTGAGGTCTCACTGTCTATCACTTGAGGTCTCACTGCCTGTATTACTTGAGGTCTCACTGTCTGTATCACTTGAGGTCTCACTGTCTGTATCACTTGAGGTCTCACTGTCTATCACTTGAGGTCTCACTGTCTGTATCACTTGAGGTCTCACTGTCTATCACTTGAGGTCTCACTGTCTGTATCACTTGAGGTCTCACTGTCTGTATCACTTGAGGTCTCACTGTCTCTATCACTTGAGGTCTCACTGTCTGTATCACTTGAGGTCTCATTGCCTGTATCACTTGAGGTCTCACTGTCTCTATCACTTGAGGTCTCACTGTCTGTAGTACTTGAGGTCCCACTATCTATCACTTGAGGTCTCACTGTCTGTAGTACTTGAGGTTTCACTGTCTGTATTACTTGAGGTCTCATGTCTGTATCACTTGAGGTCTCACTGTCTGTATCACTTGAGGTCCCACTGTCTGTATCACTTGAGGTCTCACTGTCTATCACTTGAGGTCTCACTGTCTATCACTTGAGGTCTCACTGTCTGTATCACTTGAGGTCTCACTGTCTGTATCACTTGAGGTCTCACTGTTTGTATCACTTGAGGTCTCACTGTCTGTATTACTTGAGGTCTCACTGTCTGTATCACTTGAGGTCTCACTGTCTATCACTTGAGGTCTCACTGTCTATCACTTGAGGTCTCACTGTCTATCACTTGAGGTCTCACTGTCTATCACTTGAGGTCTCACTGTCTATCACTTGAGGTCTCACTGTCTGTATCACTTGAGGTCTCACTATCTGTATCACTTGAGGTCTCACTGTCTGTATCACTTGAGGTCCCACTGTCTGTATCACTTGAAGTCTCACTGTCTGTATCACTTGAGGTCTCACTGTCTGTATCACTTGAGGTCCCACTGTCTGTATCACTTGAGGTCTCACTGTCTGTATCACTTGAGGTCCCACTGTCTGTATCACTTGAGGTCCCACTGTCTGTATCACTTGAGGTCTCACTGTCTGTATCACTTGAGGTCCCACTGTCTGTATCACTTGAGGTCTCACTGTCTGTATCACTTGAGGTCCCACTGTCTGTATCACTTGAGGTCTCACTGTCTGTATCACTTGAGGTCCCACTGTCTGTATCACTTGAGGTCCCACTGTCTGTATCACTTGAGGTCTCACTGTCTGTATCACTTGAGGTCTCACTGTCTGTATCACTTGAGGTCCCACTGTCTATCACTTGAGGTCCCGCTGTCTGTATCACTTGAGGTCTCACTGTCTGTATCACTTGAGGTCCCACTGTCTATCACTTGAGGTCTCACTGCCTGTATCACTTGAGGTCCCACTGTCTGTATCACTTGAGGTCCCACTGTCTGTATCACTTGAGGTCCCACTTTCTGTATCACTTGAACTGGGAATATATTCTTAATGAAATTCTGACTACTCAGAAACTGAATCAACCAAAGTATCGATCACCTGTTGGGCTGTCAAAAGCCTAGGCCTGCTTCTTTTTCCTGTCGAAGTGCTTGGTTCATCAGCTGTTTGTTTCATTGGGAATTTTCAGAATTTTTCACGTTAAACCACACAAAGTAAATCCAGATACATGGGGGGAGCCATTTGTAATGACTACTATAAGGTTTGACAACAATTGGTTGGTATTTTTAGTTTGTGACACATTTTTTTTCACGTAGTACACAAAATACCAAAAATTAGGTACAGCAGTTTAGCGGGATGTTACTACCAGGAAAGAGGTACAGTGGTCTGAAAGAGTTTAAAAAACTGAAATTTAGTTGATTCTATTTGATCTGGTTTCAGTTTACAGCAGACAACATCAGGAGATTCAAGCGGCTTTTGGATCCTAGTATAGGACTTCTACTAAAAGGAAATGAAGTTCTGCCTTGGTTGTGTGAAGTATTTACATAATTCCCAGCAACTGACCCTGTGTCCCAGTAGTTTGCAAATGTGCTTCATTCCATTAACTACTTTACTAGAATTAACCATTGTTAAATGTATGCCATGCTTATTTTTTAACTTGATTCCTACATGGTGTTTCTTTTGTTCATTTCTTAGACAGGATTTTTTAAGTAAATAAGATGTGTGTATTTAGATTTTTAAATTTCATTGTGTTACTGGAGATACATACACACATATTGGCTTCTTAGCTAGATTCAGCACCACAGTACTTTGGACACATCCAGATGTGCTACATCTCCCTCAGTGGATGATATGTGTATAAAAACTGTGATTTCTTCTTTTGCATAATGTTTCTGCATCTCCCTCAGTAGATGATATGTGTATAAAAACTGATTTCTTCTTTTGCATAATGTTTCTGCATCTCCCTCAGTAGATGATATGTGTATAAAAACTGATTTCTTCTTTTGCATAATGTTTCTGCATCTCCCTCAGTAGATGATATGTGTATAAAAACTGATTTCTTCTTTTGCATAATGTTTCTGCATCTCCCTCAGTAGATGATATGTGTATAAAAACTGATTTCTTCTTTTGCATAATGTTTCTGCATCTCCCTCAGTAGATGATATGTGTATAAAAACTTATTTCTTCTTTTGCATAATGTTTCTGCATCTCCCTCAGTGGATGATATGTGTAAAAAAACTGATTTCTTCTTTTGCATAATGTTTCTGCATCTCCCTCAGTGGATGATATGTGTATAAAAACTGATTTCTTCTTTTGCATAATGTTTCTGCATCTCCCTCAGTAGATGATATGTGTATAAAAACTGATTTCTTCTTTTGCATAATGTTTCTGCATCTCCCTCAGTAGATGATATGTGTAAAAAAACTGATTTCTTCTTTTGCATAATGTTTCTGCATCTCCCTCAGTAGATGATATGTGTAAAAAAACTGATTTCTTCTTTTGCATAATGTTTCTGCATCTCCCTCAGTAGATGATATGTGTATAAAAACTGATTTCTTCTTTTGCATAATGTTTCTGCATCTCCCTCAGTAGATGATATGTGTATAAAAACTGATTTCTTCTTTTGCATAATGTTTCTGCATCTCCCTCAGTAGATGATATGTGTATAAAAACTGATTTCTTCTTTTGCATAATGTTTCTGCATCTCCCTCAGTAGATGATATGTGTAAAAAAACTGATTTCTTCTTTTGCATAATGTTTCTGCATCTCCCTCAGTAGATGATATGTGTATAAAAACTGATTTCTTCTTTTGCATAATGTTTCTGCATCTCCCTCAGTAGATGATATGTGTATAAAAACTGATTTCTTCTTTTGCATAATGTTTCTGCATCTCCCTCAGTAGATGATATGTGTATAAAAACTGATTTCTTCTTTTGCATAATGTTTCTGCATCTCCCTCAGTAGATGATATGTGTATAAAAACTGATTTCTTCTTTTGCATAATGTTTCTGCATCTCCCTCAGTAGATGATATGTGTATAAAAACTGATTTCTTCTTTTGCATAATGTTTCTGCATCTCCCTCAGTAGATGATATGTGTATAAAAACTGATTTCTTCTTTTGCATAATGTTTCTGCATCTCCCTCAGTAGATGATATGTGTATAAAAACTGATTTCTTCTTTTGCATAATGTTTCTGCATCTCCCTCAGTAGATGATATGTGTATAAAAACTGATTTCTTCTTTTGCATAATGTTTCTGCATCTCCCTCAGTAGATGATATGTGTATAAAAACTGATTTCTTCTTTTGCATAATGTTTCTGCATCTCCCTCAGTAGATGATATGTGTGTAAAAACTGATTTCTTCTTTTGCATAATGTTTCTGCATCTCCCTCAGTAGATGATATGTGTGTAAAAACTGATTTCTTCTTTTGCATAATGTTTCTGCATCTCCCTCAGTAGATGATATGTGTATAAAAACTGATTTCTTCTTTTGCATAATGTTTCTGCATCTCCCTCAGTAGATGATATGTGTATAAAAACTGATTTCTTCTTTTGCATAATGTTTCTGCATCTCCCTCAGTAGATGATATGAGTTTAAAAACTGTGATTTCTTCTTTTGCATGTTTCTACATCTCCCTCAGTAGATGATGGGTGTATAACAAGTTTGATTTCTTCTTTTGCATAATGTTTCTGCATCTCTCTCAGTAGATGATAGAAGTATAACAACTGTGATTTCTTCTTTTGCATAATGTTTCTGCATCTCCCTCAGTAGATGATGGGAGTATAAAAACTGTGATTTCTTCTTTTGCATAAGTTTTGTCACAATACTTTGACCTCTATCTGAAGTCAGTAAAATTATTTTATTTTGACTGTAGTTTTGGGCTGTGGAACTTTGGACAACTCAGCTGTATTTTTAACAGAAAAGCTGACTTCTCTCTTGTCATATGTGATAAGCTCAGAACAGATCATCCAAATAATGCTTTTATAAAGATTTGTTTGTAATATTTAATGCAAAATAACTTGTGAGTTTCTGTTTACTATTCAGATGGCTAATCTTCTTTCTGTGTGTGTAGATGCACAGGCATGCCAGCTGATAGTATATTTTATACTGAGATGTATTAAATTAAATAAGTTACGTATCCATTACGGGATGTTACAGAACCAACCTCAGCACTTTCTGGCTGTTGTGGTTTTTCTAGGCAAATTTACGTCCAATAGTTTGGCATAGCTTTCTGGACGGTTGGCTCTCGGTATCACTTTCGAAACCAGCGCAAAACAAACCATCCGCAGCTGCGATCGAACCCGGCACCCAGGCATTACGAAACGCGTTCGCAACACCTAAGCCATAGAAGCCAACTAATGAAATGTATGAATGTCTTTAAAATTATCTTTGAAGTACAGCACCTGAACATTATTTCAATAGCTACACAGGGTCTGACATTTTCATGGAATCAAATTTCTCGCGACATTAAAAGTATTTAAAGCATCCCTTGCGATGAGCGGATTTTTTTTAAAGAGTTTTTTTTTAGAGAAGGCAGTTATTTAAAGAATCCTGTAAGCTTGTAAATTATTTCAAGGGTTCCTTGAGCTCTGGGAATGAATTGCGAAGGTTCCTTTAGGTAAAAGAATTATTCCACATGTTTTGGGGATGTAGAAATTAATTCAAAGATTTATTTTAGTATAGGAATTGTTTCAAGGGTAATTTGAGGGTTGGGGGTGGGAATGAAAAAAAAAAAGGTTAGAGACCACTGCTTTAGGTATAATCATTATTTCAAGGATTTCTTGAGACGTGATATTTTCAGGGGCTCCTCAGGACATAAAAATTATTTCAAGAATTTCTTGAGATATGGAAATTATGGAAAGGTTGTCTTTAGATAACAGTTATCTCGTGGGTTTCTCCAGAGTGAACAGATTTAGAAAGTCTTGTATAAGCTTTGACTGTGGATTATTTATTTCTTTATGTCTTTGATGAAGTAGAAATATGATAGTGCTGAATTATTCTGCCACACTGTGTCTAGATTTTGCAGGAATGATGTGGAAATTGGCAGTAGCATGCACACTAAGTTAAAAGGTAATCATTAACTTGAGCCTTGGTAAAACTAATGAAGACCATTAAAGACTTCTGCCAGTGGTGTCATGACAGTGAGTGGGGATGGAGACATACAAGCTGTTCTAACTTACCCAATAAGGAAGCCCAAGTGTTTAATGAAACTTTACTTTTGAGCAAACTCTTATGTGTTTTAACTGCTTGTTTTTTTTTTTGCAGTTGTTATAAACAGTAAATTAGAATGAAAATTATAAAACATTGTTTACATTTATCTATTTCTTGTGCTGTAGCACAAACTTTGTGGTGTATATGGTTGTTTATTTCCACACTTTCTGTCTGGTATACTGCTAAACATTTACAACATGAATATCTTTCCAGGCACTGATTTGAAGTTTTCTAATAGCTTCTTTCTTCACCTTCCCACATCTTACTTCCCCTCCAACTTTCCTGTTTTGCGTCAAATGTCAGTTGTCTAATGTTTATGATATACCTTAGCATGTTGATGATCCACTTCTGATGTGAGTAATCATTTCTCTTATTTCTTTTGTCGTATTAAGTTATAATTGGGGGACACCACTATGTTCACATTTTAATTTTATGATTAGGCTGAAGAAGTAATGAATCTATATCTCAATTGAAAGACACTCTCAGAAATTAAATAGAATATATATGCATGAAACAGGAAGTAAACTGTACATGAACATCTTATGTTTTATTTGATGTGTTGTTTTGCTTGATTATGTATTTAAAGCATGGTATACTGATGCTGAATGATTGACTACACAAGATTACCTTTACAGAAGGGAAAAAAAAAGCATATGAATTATGAGAAGCCATGATGGAGAATTGGAAAGCCCATGGTGACTAGATGCTCATCTACCACACCAGAGGTCTTGGGTTCGATTCTGCATCAAGAAAGATTTTATTCCAACTTTGACCTTCGCTCTCAGGATGACCCAGCCTAAAATGTCCTAGGAAGTAAAGGTTCCCAGCATGATGTTCTTTTGTTTTATTCTTCAATTCTTTTTTTGTTGTTGTAACTGCTTTGGGTGTCGAGGGAGATGAAAGGTTCTGCTTCTTTGCTCTTCTGGCCGCCTCAATCATAGACACATCATGCTGTTGGAGAGTTTCTGTGATGTTATCTTTATATCTTGTTCTTGGTCTGCCTCATGCTCTTTGTCCATTTCCTTTTTTGCTGTAAACCTTGGATGGTATGGTATAGTGTCTGAGTGGGCAAACCATTTGATTTGTTGCCTTTTTATGTAATTTAGAATTGCTAAGACATCCAAATGTCTTCCATCCATCAGAACAGCAAATGATTGATAATCTTTATTCCCACTCTATGCTATCAGTGCCAGACATGGACAGTGAATAGGGCACTAGAACAAAAAATAACTACCTGTGAAATGCGCTGTTTCTATAATGTGACTCATCATCATTCATCATTTTGATGATGATAGCTCTGTGACATAAGATAGCACTGTGCTAATTGTTACATAG